TATCGTCCCAGCCCGGCACAGATGGCCAGTCCATCCCGTGCTACGACGCTCCAAGAGCCTTGAAATGTTACAACTTGCAACTCCCTCCGTGAGAGAAGGGCCAGTTCCCACCACGCAGAAAGCAGCCTTGTATTTCTTTTTTGTGCTGGTGGCTGTAGGTCAATGGAGCGGCCAAACATGGCTGTACTCATGTCAAGACACTGGCAAACCCATGAGTCTCTTTCTGTTGTCTGTTGTTTCTCTTAACTTTCAGTCATCTGGACTTGCTCCTTTGTATGCCTGGTTACTTTTCCCTGAGGGCCAGACATTGTGACAACTTTCAGAAATAATTCATGGCCTTGTGTGATGTTGTTTTCCTTCAGATACAATTTGTGTTTGCTTCTGACAGATGTGAACTAGCAGTTTTGGGTCATCTTCATTCAGTTTTACAAGTGAGGATTATTTGACTTTGGGCTTTAGTCCCTTCAAGGTCCAGTCTCTCCCCGTTAACGCTTGCTCCTAGGGGTAGCTCTTCAGGGTCTCAACCCAAAGAATTGGGGGAGTGTGCCAAGGATTCGCTTCCTCAGAGGGCCCTGGACTCCTGTTCGTGTCCCTCAAGCCCCTCAAGCCCACTCGGCCTCTCTTGCAGCCACCCTGTCTTAGTCCATTCGGGCTGCTCTAACAAATTACTACAGACTGGGTGGCTTAAAGAACATTTATTTCTCACAGTTTGGGAGGCTGGAAGCCTGAGGTCAGGGTGCCAGCACAGTCATGTTCTTGGTGAGGGCCGTCTTCTCGCTGTGTCCTCACATGGTGGAGGGGGCCTCTTCATAAGGGCACTAGTCCCATCCTGGGGGCTTCACCCTCATGACCTAATCACCTCCCAAAGGCCCCACCCCCTAACACCATCACTGCAGGGCCTAGGATGTCAACAAGTGAATTTGGAGAATGCAAGCATTCAGTCTATAACACACTCCTGGTGTAAGAGCAACAGTGGCTGGGCTGACTTCTCTGGGTTTTGGATCATGGCCTTGCAATTCTTCTGCCTTGTTAGCTCTCGGCATTCAAACAGATTCTTAAAAAGAATTCTATCCAGTTTTCCTAACTCTCAGCAGGAGAGTTGTCTGACGCACCTAGTCCACCAGCCCCAGAGTAGAAGCCTGGCCGCTGCCATTGCATGTTGTCTCTGCACTGGTGTGGATGGATGGGCAGACGCCCCGTAGAACCGGTGTTTGCCGAGATCGTCAGGCATGAGCAAAGGCAGCCTCGGTCAGTGCTTGTTGAGCTAACGCATTAAAGCTGCTCACTTGTGATCTATTTAATGTTCTGTCTTTAAAAAATGCTTAGCTTCTGTTGAAAATAACAAGCCTGTAAGAGTGTGGGGGCATATGGGATTAGGACTTTGTTCTTGTGTGCGGGGCTCTGACTGCGTGAAGCCGGCCACCGGCACACAGCAGGTAGGGGGCAGGCGAGGGACAAGTGTGGGGACAGGAAGGGCTGTGGGGGGACCGGAGAGGGGTCGGAAGAAAGAAATGACAGGCCTTTGGTACGGCAATTGTGAGCAAAGCTGATGCTAAGGAGTCAGGGGTCCCTAGTCCCCGAGGCCAGTGACATGGGTGGGCACGGAGCGGGGCAGCGTGTGTGAGCACATGTGAGCGTATGTGTGTGAGTGCGCGTGTGTGTGTGCACGTGTGTGAGTGTGTGCACACGTGTGTGTGCGTGTGCATGTGTGAGCACGTGTGTGTGCACACGTGTGTGTGCGTGTGCATGTGTGCACGTGTGAGCACCTGTGTGTGCACGTGTGTGTGTGCATGTGCATGTGTGCATGTGTGAGCACGTGTGTGTGTGCACATGTGTGTGTGCACACGTGTGTGTGCGTGTGCATGTGTGCATGTGTGAGCGCGTGTGTGCACGTGTGTGTGCGCACACGTGTGTGTGCGTGTGCATGTGTGAGCACGTGTGTGTGCACGTGTGTGAGTGTGTGCATGTGTGAGCACGTGTGTGTGCGTGTGAGCACGTGTGTGTGCGTGTGCACACGTTTGTGCGCGTGCATGTGTGTGCACGTGTGTGAGTGTGTGCACACGTGTGTGTGCGTGTGCATGTGTGCATGTGTGAGCGCGTGTGTGAGTGTGTGCACACGTGTGTGTGCGTGTG